TCCCCACCCGCGGCTCCCTGTGCGCCGGAAGCCCTCCTTCCGGGGAACGACGAGGAGGCCGGGGCGCGAGCGGTGTCTTACAATGAGTAGTATGTGACACCAAACACCACATGATCACAACTGAGGCAATGATTCTCTCTCTCTTGCTGCAGGATTATGGGTGATCGTCTCCCAACAGGAAGAGGTTATGGAGGAGAGCTCATCTACAGTGCGGGAGGCAGAGGAATTCCTCACTTCAAATGTGATAAGGAGATGTGTAGTATGTGGGAAACAGCACAAAATTTTGCGGAAAAGGAACACCCGAATAAGACTGTATTAGAGTGAGCAATAACTCTGTTTAATGCCAATGAAATGTCACATTTCCCTGAAACCCTCAAAGGGAGGCGAAAGCAAGTGTTGTTGGGAAGGTTCCTTGTTAAAGCTGCACAAAAAGAAAAGGATTCCATCAAGCCAACAGTTAGCCCTGATCCTATCAGTGATAACAAAAGTCTTCTACACAGCAACCCTCCTCTCTCGTCTCCCTCACCCCAGCCATGAACGTTTTCAAAGGTAACTACAGGTTAATTTTTTCTTTTTTCTTCTTCCCCAGTACCAGGAATCGAACTCATGACTTCGCGCTTGCCAGGCAGGTGGTGTGCCACTGAGCTAAATCCCCAGCCGCTAATTTTCTTTTTCTTTCTTTTTTTTTCTGTCTTTTTGGAACAGGGTTTCACTACGCAATTCGGGCTGGTCTTGACCCGACTTTGTAGCCCAGGCTGAGTTTTTAAAAAAAGATAAATTTCAGATAAAATTACTTAGGAAATAAAATTTTATTGTACAAGTTTTAGATCTGTTGTAGATGATGGGAAAAGACCTTCTGTTAATCCATTTTTTTACATTTTCTGTTTAAAGTATCTTTGTCCTACTGTATTTTTGGATAGCACAAAGTTTTATATAGAATATTTAACAGTTGTGTTTGTAGTGTCTCAGGACACTACCTAAAGGTGAAAGCAGATCAAAAAAGTGCAGGGGGAAGACCACTGCCAAAGAGTAATTTCCAAGAACTCGGTATTTTCCATGGCAAGGTGGATGGTGTGGG